ATGTGCAACGCTAAGCCCACATAATGATATAAATGGAGCTAAGCACTGCTGATAGAAAGAATTCATTTTTGACGTTCATGTTTGGATTTCTGACAGAAATCCACGCGGCTTCAAATAGTTTCCTGGCGCAAATCTCAGTCCGCATGTTAGTACCGTGCATTTGACTTCGAAATCGATCATGTGCCGTCCCAACGGTGCTGTTGGAGTCCCTCGCCTTTTGTTCGCTAAATGCTCTTTCAACCGTACACCTAGATTTCTACCCGTTTCTCCGATATAACAGTCTTGGCAGCTGAGACATTCTAGTTCGTAGACCACACCTGTCTTTGTACAATCTCCTATTCTGCCGTAAGGACGAACTATGCAATGCTCTATCATGCACTCATTATCATGAAGTCTATTATGCCACCAACTACTTCTTTAAACTATTAGGTTGTAAAGAAAGTTCCCGGGCAGTTTTAGAAATTTCATTTTCAAACGCATTTTTTGGCGCTCGGTCGGAGTTTGACACCAAATGTTGTATAGTGTTCAGTAGAGCGAAGCGTAAGCTTTTCAATACCGCTTCTGATTTCTATCGATGCCAATACGTGTTTGATCTACACATTAAACAAGGAAGTCTTTTCAACCATAAAAATTTCACAATTTTTCTTTCTGAGGCCATTTTTTTGTGCAGTTCGAAGAATTCCGTTCAAATTATGGGTGATCTGATTGAGGAGCCTTTTGACTTCTAATCCGCAGCTGCACTCGGGTTTTGCGATCTGCGCTCAGGAATTACAGGCTGTCGAACTTGCACCTGACTGCATCTCTTTTCGCAGCTGGCGTCGCTTCTGCGGGAATCGCCACGCCTGGATGATGGGTCCAAAAGATGTGTAAGGCATTAACCCAACAATGGTCGCAGTAATCAAAGATTTGGTCCGCCCTGTGCAAAACGAGAAGACTTCAAAGCAACTTACTCGAAAAACGGTGCATTTTTGGGGGCAAAAAATGGTCGATTTTTCAACTTTTCTGGAAAAGAATTTTTTGCAGGTGGTCACTCAAAGACTTAAATAGTCTACATAACAGCGCCAGCAGACTTCTATATAAATACGGCATCTGAGCTCTCCAGCTCTCTTACCATGGCTGAGATAATCCTGCACAAAGAGGCCACTTTTCGCGCTGACCTTTTTCCATTTTGCGCATGCTGGTGTACCGTAGTGAGGTGCTGAAAATCCAGCAAGACAAATATACGTTGTAGACAAAATTGTCTTTGCAGTGGAGTTTGTAGCCCTAAAGAAAATTCAGCCTGTTTGAAGTTACAGTGATTTGAAAAAAATTTTCGCAAGTGCCCGGTAACTTTCTTTACAACCTAATACTCTTCGGGATGTTAACAACCAATACATCTTTCTGCTGTTGAGCTCAGGGGAAGGCACAAACTACCGACACGATGATTGAAATAGTTTCGCCTTCGCTCCGCAAGCCATGGATACGAAGGAATTGGACAAGCCACTCAACGTTTTTCAATTTGTTGAGGTACAAATTAGGTTGATCCACCAGTCCTGCGTGAAAAAGGGCCAAAAATTTACTTGAATTATGTTTACCATAACACCTCAGTTATATCTTATATAATATTTTTGAGACCTACAATGAATTTATTTAAGCATTTATAATATAGAATTCATTCGTTTTTTCACGATTTTATTAGGTAGACCCAAGAGTCTTGCACCAAGTTTTTTGAAAAAAAATCTAACGTTTCGACGACGTCTTCCTCAGAGGCCTGAAAATGGCTCAAAGTGCCATCTATAGCTTCACGCCATCAAACACCCTTCCTAATCGTGCTAGTTCTCGACTTCCGCCTGACATACCTATTGTAAAAATGTCAGGGCAGAAGACGAACATACTGACAGATCACCACTATGCGAGTTTCCGCACCGGAAATGATGGTCACGGCGGAAGAATGAAGTATACCATAGATGAGCATCGGATGTCATCTACAGATCGCATAACGATATGAAGGGAAGAAAGTCGGAAGTTATTGACAGGCACTTTTTTGTTGTTCATAGCTGGATACTTCACTGAAATCCAGAACGCCTCTAACGCTTTCCTAGCCGAGGTTTCTTTTTCGTAAGTCAAGATTTTACTACTGATATTGAAATCATCTCCGCCATGCCTTTCATTTCTATCCTGCCCAGAGGTGATAACTGAATTTTACGCCTTTTATCTGCCATGTGTTCGTTTATGCGAGTGCCTAATGGTCTTCCTGTCTCAATAATGTAGAGTGCATTACAGCTAAGACATTCAATTTGATATATTACTCCCACTTTAGCACAATCGCTTATTTTACCGTGCGGGCATACTACGCAGCATTGCTTGAACATACAGCATCGATCATACAATCTATTTCTAACTAACTGCTTTTCGATGTTGTCGTTCGTAATGGACACTAAAACAACATCATCTTGCAGTTGTGCGCGTTGTATGCATTTTCGAATAGCGCCGCATTGATATTGTCAGAGATAAACGGTAGGCACAGTGGAAGTTTATTATCTTCATGAGTATAGTTACCGATTCTGAGATGTTGACTATGTGGTAAAGAATGGTACCCATTGCTGCAAGCAATCTGTGACGCTAAATCTCGTGACTCGCAACGTTCTTTTTCTCCAGAGCACATCTGCATGGCTGTTCTGAACATGTTGCCAATGACAGCTCTCTTTACGGATGCTGGATGTGCGGATTTTATATTTATAAGGATGTTCTTGGAGCTTTCTTTACGGAACCATTTCACGCTAACAATGCCCTTGGACAACTTCACTTGCGCGTTGAGATAGGGTAGCCACCCGTTATCTGGTGCTTCTCGAGTGAGCTTTGTATACTGCGATTGATGATTGAAAAGGTCGAAACACATGTCCATTTCGGACTGCGTGGAGGTGACGATACAGCAATCATCGATGTAACGGCAGTACATCAGCGGCATGCGAGCTAATACCGGTTCTTCAATTTTGCTCATAAAGCAAATGGCGAGCACCGGCGCTAATCTTTGACCCACAGCCAAGCCGCGTATCTGGGAGTAATAAGTCCCAGACCACCTAAAGATGTTGCACTTCAAACATTCGCTGACTAGGGTCATAATTCGCGCCACAGTCCAAACATATCCATATTACTACCATATTTATCTAACATCTCCGATAGAGCCTGCAAGGCTTGCTCAATCTGCACATTAGTATAGAGTGAAATGACGTCAAATGACTCAATCACTGCGCTCGAATCAAACCTAGCGCTTTGGAGTTGTTTGATAAATCCACGTGAGCTGGACAAATGTGCCGGTATCTTTGATAGTAGCTGGCTCACTATTTTGTGGTGTAGTGGTGATCTTTCGGTATGTTCATCTTCTGCCCTGACCTTTTTACTATAGGGAAGTCAGGCGAAAGTCGAGAACTAACAGGATTAGGAAGGGTGTTTGATGGTGTGAAGCTACAGATGACATGAGCCATTTTCAGGCCTCTGAGGAAGACGAAGGCGTCGAAACGTTAGACCACGATTGGAATAATAAAGATCACTTAACAAACCTGTTTGGCACAGAATACTTAGTCAATACCAATAATGCCCAGGTTTAAAAAAAGTGGAACTTGGAAGTTATTGAAAAATCTAACTTTTTGTCCTTTCAAAGAATTCCTTCAACTTAACACAGCTAAAAAAGAGTCATACTATCTAATAGTGCTTGAGGCAAGAATCCAGTTTTTCATAACAAAGTGACACAAGTTGATCAAGGCAAACTCCTAAAAAACGTTGAAGCTTCAAGAAAATCAATTTTATTCTCAGATGTGGTTTTACGACTTTCTTCGTGAGGAATATATGGTGAGTGAATGTTTCTACCATCAGTTTATGACTTTCACATTTTCTAACTTAAGATTTCGTTAATGAATACGGCGAATGAATCTGAGGATTAACTCAGGGTTAGTTTAACCCTCTGGGTTCAATGATGAATACGGCCGCAGGCTTCGCGAGGAAAAATTCTACGCACTCCGTCACCTGTGCTTTTAGCATTATCCAGCAATCCTAAAATTTGTCATACTGCATTGATATGCATGCACCATCTTTGGCACAGGATAGTGCTACGGGCAATGAAAAGATTAACATGTTGTGCGGTGCTGCTTTAACCCATAAACTTTTTGGCAGTGCTGAGCAGACGGCTTACCACGATAGCGCTACCAGAGCGGCATCTCTTCCTAAAAAACTGTCTTCATGAGTGACAATGTTCTTCTGAGCCAAATTAAGTTCTCTTCTTCTTCCACAATTTGCTGTTGTCGTAAGCGGAGATTATGGAGTTATTCTCCCTATGCGTCGCAATGATGGTTTAGTAGGTATACGTCAAGCTATGCAATTTTAATAAAAGAAGTATGAATTTTGATAAGCGCAATAAAGGTTGAGAGGCACTTATGACGCCGTAAACGAATGGCTAACTGGAATTTGTAATGGCTCCCTTAAACACGTGGTCACTTTAGATTTAAAAGTCAATTTATGCACATAACAAACATGAGCGACAAACCTTTACTGTAAGTAGAAAATAATGGCAGATACACTTAAGAATGATCAACTACCAAAAGCAGGATCAAACAACAAATGCACTATGGATGCGCCAATCATGATTACTAAAACTTTGGATCTTATAGCCTTGTAACCATACAGTAAACGAATAAACAACTGACAGCTAACTCTGCTTTCCGTTGCAAATCAGTAAAAATTTAAAAAAGTATGAGCTAATTATGAACAAATTATTCTGCTTGAGTGTCTGTATTTCGTGACATGTATAGAGCCACCTAGCTACCTACATGTTTTTCTGTATAAGTGTCTGTATTTTGTGGCTTGTATAGGGCTTTGATAGTGATTGTAAAACTCAAATAGAGGAGATAAATTCTCTGTCATTATGCTAAATATTCTTCTGCCCTTCTGTTTTGCTTAAGTGCTGGGCTGATTGAATTTGACATAGCTTTGACTCTAAGCAATGTAGTATCAAGGTGGCAGCGCTAAAAAGACCCGATCAGGTGAATTAGTTGTGTTATGAGGCTTCTTCTCTTACTTCTCGTCTTCCTCCCGTTGAGCATTGCTGATTATGGTGAAACTGATGTTGAAAAAGAAAAACGCTTTTGTTCTGAAGGGTGCCCATACCTATTGAAAACGGAGGGTCCAAATGCTAAGTTCGACATAAAAGTGGGTTTATCTTGCTTACTTCCAAAGAATGGAATGTTTTTCAAGAAAATGATGGGCAAATGCAAGAAGGATCCCAAAGTACCGAAAATAATTTGTGAAATGGTGAACATATGGAAGAATGACCCAGTTACAAAGGTTTGTCGACAACAATAAGTTTTTAGTTTTCGATGATGTATATTTCAGCTTATGCAAGATGACACATGGAAAGAGCTGCTTTGCGATCCTTGCAAGTAACTGTGTCTCTTATGTGAAATGCAAGTTGTCTTCACAATAAAATGACGGAAGCATCTCTTAGCTATAATCGCATATGATCTCTATTCGAAGTTGGTGGCCGAAGTAATATCGATCAAGCCGTTCAAATTGCAGTTATATGTCAACACAGTTTATTTATTACTGCACGTCCGGAATACCATGATTGCATGGAAGGCTGTTTCGAGGTACTACTCTTCTAATATGCAGAGTAGTCATACCGCAATCTAAACGGAACGAGAAGCCGTTTCATAGTACCTGCTAACGTAGAAAAAATTAGTAAATACTGCTGTATCCGTCCGATTCTTGTTTTTTTTTTGCACGTCAGAAACGTGGTCATATCAAATTTCATTCCAGTCATCACGAATGCTTGTCTCTTTTTTGAACAAGTAACTTCTTATGGTGCAAACAAAGCTCTGCCATGTGGATTTGAACATTAGCAGAAAGTCTGCTTCGGAAGTTTGAACAATCTGCATAATCCTAATTAGGGATAATACAAAAGATTCCTTTTCCGCAGAAATTCCATCTCGAGTTTGAAGCCAAAAACTTAAAGGATTCAACCGCCCGAAAAATAGAGAGAAAATCGTAACTCCATCCAAAAAAATCCTAGAAAATACCTAAATTGCTCACAGAACTATCCACATCAGACATTTCCACATACTATTGCAAACTTATTCTTATACACATAATAAATATGACAAACATGGAGGTTTGTTGCAGACGGAAACTAATGGCAAGCAGATATTCACTTAAAGATGATCAATTTGCATCATTCGATCAAAAATCAAGTTCAATGGACCTTATACCATTGTAGAAATACCAACAAAAGAAGAAAACAATTCAAGGCTGATTCCGTAGATTTTTGATGAGAATCAGGAAAATGTCAAAAACTAGCTATACCAGCGGCCCCATTCATCTACTTGATCCAGTGGGTTCGCTACCCAGTGGGTAAACTTAACCATGGGTAGCTTACCCAGCAGCGCTGACGTCAGGAGGGTGCTTACTATTTATGTACAATATCTCTACTACATATTCACGAGCGCCTCTGCTGCGTTATCGAACTCAGCAGTGACCTTCGAATTCTCGTCAAAATTCTCGCGTAGGTTTGCGTTTTTTAGCATGCAGGCTAACATTTTGATTCGACCGCGTGACTGAATCATTGTTTGTAGGCTTCCATCTTTCTAGAATTGACATGATCTGGTACCATGCAAGATTGAGATTCGTGAAAGTGGAAGGGGAATAGTTTTTCAAGTTTAGACTTCGAAGATGTGGGAAACTGGTAACAACATACATGGGATAAGAAGCCTAAAGCCTTACAGGATTACACATTTTTATTGCAGGTGATTCTACAAGTGTTTCAAGGGGCTCAAGCTTCCGGATGAAGGAGGGAAAGAAAGCATGGTGAACACTCAAAGTAGCCTAATCTATTTTAGTGCGAGAGGAACAGAAAATCCTTTTTGCATGAATAGAGCACCAAATCTACAAGTGATTGACATACAGTTCCGTATAAGATATTTCTTCGTAGTTGCAGTAGTATCAGAAAACCCTAAGATGAGCTAGCATTGATGAACTCTATAACAAAGAGTTTTTTGTCTGCAAAAATGTCAGTTTTCACTTTAAAAAGACTTTGAATTTTTCGGAAAATAGTGACGTTAATTAGCTTGAACCGAAAGTTCAGTCGCTTTCTTTTATTTTGAAATATTTGCAACTGCTCTCTATGTGAACATAATTGCTTGCAAAAAAACTGCATTAGGAAGAAAAATTCATCTCCTTTTTACAAACATCTTCGCAGCTCTTGATAGAGAGGGACTCTGCAGATTGAAATTTGGATAAGAAAACCATCCCAACTTTTGATTTTCGAAAATGAATTGTCACAAACACGCTGCAGAAAAATCAGAAGACATGTTTGTTGAAGCCACTGTAAGTTGTCCTTTCTAGTAGACCCGAATTTGTGCTGATTGAGCTTTTCTGTACAGAGCTGTTTTTTGAGGAAAATGCAAGAAACGACAAAAATATTTTTTTGCATTTTTTTGCATTTTCCTTGAAAATTATGACTTTTCATAGATCCAGCATAAATGTAACACTTTCCTAGAGAGCACCCTGCGTGAACACAAGAACCGCGTTGAATTCTTTCGCAGCGTTTGAGATTTTTGGCAAATAATTTTCAAAAATCAGGAGTTAGGGTGGTTCTCCTATTCGGTATAGACTTTCTTATCGCCAAGAACTTCGAAGATGTTATAGAAAATAAATGAAGTTTTCTTCCTACTTCCTCATGAGCAAATACGTTTACATAAGGAGCAGCTATGACTTTTTCGAAATTAGAGCGACAGAACTTTTGTTCAACATAAAGTTTTGGTTTTTTTTCATTTTAGTTAATTGGTTCTCTGCTATGAAATCTTTTTTGACGGTTTTATGAAAAAAGGCTTTAGTATCCATGTGGGAACCTTGCCCTTTTTTTTGAAATTTTGGGGTCAGGGGCCCGGAAAAATTTCGGGAAACATCCCGAAAATTTTTTCGGGGTGTTTGTCGCGCCCTCCCCCCGGAGCCGAAATCCTGGGTACGCCACTGGCTCAGCCCCCATTATGGAACCTATGGGCCAAAGTTGATCTTTCTCTGCCACTTCTAACCTCCGAAATTTCAAAGCGAAAGCAGAGCTCATCTCCTGTCCTCTCCGGACTCGCCCACCCCATGGGCGAGTGAAGGCGGAGCCCGTCATGGCGAAGACGCAGAGTCGTTGCGGGACCTCATGCTTATAGCATTGCGGCTGGCGCTCTGACCGTGGAAGACACTCGTCGGGGTGGGCGGGTTCGGAGAGGACGGGAGATGAGCTCTGCTTTTGCATTGAAATTTCGGGGGTTAGAAGTGCAGAGAAAGACCGAACTTTGGCCCATAGGTTCCATTATGGGGGCTCCTACCCTGTGACCTTCTTTTGCCACAGGTCTCATTCTGCCGACGCACTGCCTTCAAGTGTTGGAGAAATTACTCACAACTTACGAATAAAAATTTTGAAAACTCGTTCGAGTGCCTCTAACGTAAGACCTATATGGATTTCATCGTCGCTAAAAGGGGGGGGGGGGAGAAGGAGGAGGGAACTGGAAGGAATGCGTCATATCTCGTTGCCTTGAAATCTTCCTGCTCGTTGCTGGTTGTTGTTTGAACTGGTTTAGTTCCTAATTTCAAAAATTAGTAAGTATTCGACAATGCAAAACAAACTCTGCTTACAAACAATCTCAAAAGTTGGATCACGTGAAGTTCGGAGCCAAAGTGCATAATTCTTCCAACTGCTGAAGAAGCGATTCCGGCTAGAGAATCCTACGGATCTCTGACTTGCTGGCTCATCCTTCGTTCATACATTTACATGTGTAGTTTCCGCATGTTTTACAGAAACAAGATAAGATCGAGATTGCAAACAAATCAGGAAATTTTGCGTTTTCTTGGTTTTTATGCAATTTCAATATTTCTTTTGAATAAGAGCTCCTAAAAGGCTGAAAGGTCATGGTTGTGCTTGCAAAAGTTTGTGACTGAAATCTGTGTAAGAACAACACAACATTGCTTTTCTAAAAACATGCCAAGTTTTGTTTTCTCGCTTTCTACCCAAGGAAAAAATACAGCAACTACACATATAAGTAACAAATCGGGGAGAAAATGTCTGAGCGAAGACACTCAAGATTATTTCAGACTGAGATTCGATTTTTCTCCATTTCTAAGCATTTGGAACTCTTTGGATTTCGGCTGTAAACTTTAATTGCAACAATCTCGGAATGAAAAAAGTTTTTGTAGAGCTTAATTTGTCAATTGAAAGATCCACGTATTCTTCCAGAGTCTAAACATAAGAAGATGCAATTTATTGCGGTAAAAAAAAAACCGTATCTTGATAAACTCATGGGACATCCTTAATGCACATAGTAATTAGGGGAGATGCCATGATAATGGTTTGACAAATTACTGCAGTGCAGAATTGCAAAGCAAGAAACCGCACACTCAGAAGTTGTGGAAATTGGAGTTGATTCTCACTCCCGTAAGTTTTCATTCGTTGAAACATTGAAGGCAAGCTTATGAAGGTTTTCAGATTTTTGCTTACGGTAACTTACTTGGTGTGCTTATTCACTGCACTCGACTGGGCAACCTACCTGCAAAAGTGGAACAATTCGTGGAATCTGGTCTCCTATTGTGTCCAAGGCACTTCTATATCTCCATTTCACTAGGCATCCGGTAGTTGATTTTGAACTGGAGCGGGCCGACTGTCGTATAGTACAGCATCAGCTCTCAGTAAATTTTAATCTGCGTTATACGATGTCGTGCTCTAACACAGTCATTCTGCTCCCTCGAAGTTCAAAACCGTCCAGTAGACGTCTGTCAAGCGACTACATCTAAGTACAACAGTTATCTATCTGATCAAATTCTACGACAAAAGTTAACGCAACGCAATCAGTAGGTTCTATGCAAAGACGAAAATACAGACTCTGCAAACATATACAGTGTAAAATTTGGAATCGACGATAGCAAAGGGTACTCGCAATTAGCAGATCCTTTAGACTTTTTTCCGAAATTCTCCTCCTTAAAGTCACCGTCCACCCTAAGTTGGGGGTTCGAGCTTTTGGCAGCTTATAATAGGACCAGCTATCAAACAAATATCCAAGTCGCGGCTCAAAATCTTGCTTCGGAAGCGAGAAAATCACTTTGGAATAGCAAAGAGTCGTGAGGACCCCCAGTCAGCGCCACCCCCTCCAGCAATGCACGCCCATCCGTGCGCGCTTATCCAATCACCGCCCCGGAAAACCGGCCTTCGGGTTTTCCAGAATGGACATTGCCGAGGTTTTCGCTGATTTCATTCATATTTAAGGAATCGAGGACATAGGAAGGCCCCGAGATGACTAAAACGTAGAAGTCGAGAATCTGGGTGGACTATGCCCTTCAAGACATCCAAGAAGAGTGCCTGTGGAATCTCCAAGAATGTGATGTAATTCTTGGCTGAGCGTATGTATAAAATGTCTACAATATAATGAAGACCCAGTATTTCTCCCAAGTTTGTAGAATTTTCAAGCTTTCTTCCTGCTTTTTGAGCCGCATTCGGATTGATTGAAACCGAAATATGTTCGGGAGGGTGAAGAGGACGTTGGAATTCGATGAATTCTTCCCCATCTCAAACGAGTATCAGCACAGGCTTCACTAACAATATGAACATTTTCCTTCTTGAAGAGGTGGTGTGCGGAAGGAATTACTTTAGTTAACCAATTAATGCTACTAAGCAACTTTCAAATACCTTTTATCTTGTTGTAAGCGAAAATTTTAGGAGCCATTTTGCATGCGAATACATTTTTATTGCTCCATATCACAGAAATGTCAAAGGCAAGCTTTGATGTGAAAAAATGCCATTTCAGAGCAACGTGCGCAGCCTCCGATAAGCCCCTATACAGATTTAGCAAGGACTAATAAAGCAGTAAACGCTGATGCCATTTTCGACTTGAGAATTAGAAGCTGACTAGGAAAGTTTCCTTCTATATGCACAGGCATTACACCATTACATCCATCATACATTAGCCTTTAATCTATGTGCCAAAAGTCAAGCAAGTAATTTATGCATAATGTTTCTTCTATACTTGTTATTAAGGCTAAAGGCAAGAAGTTTTGAATTTGTAATCGGCTCTTCTAAAGCATGCATTTGTTGGACATTTTAAATTTTATCACCCATCCACAAACTTTGTTGTAATTGGAAACTAATGGCAAATAGATGTTCAAAATGACCAATTTCCAAAAACGATCGATGAAAATGCCAATGTATACTCGTATTCATAATTTCTGAACACCTTCAAAAGATCTTATGCTTTTGTAAAGGTTCAAGACGCAAAGCGAACAATGAACTGTTAATTTCACATTTTTACAGATAAAATTGCAAGAAACGAGCTGGTTTTGTACATATATTGATTCTGTGAAAGTACTTTTTCTGAAACTATGAATAGAAGAATCAATACCGATCAAGCAGAATATTTTTCAGCCCTTTTGTTTTTCTTAAGTGCACAGGCTATTTGCATCTTTAACAGGTTTCGGATCGGTGCTGCTCATGGTGCAGCACGCTGCTTTGAAGGACATTTTTCACGTTTACAGGAGGTTTTCTTTTAGTCCAAAGTTATCAAGTCAAAGGCCTAAGCTCCTACTTTTCAAATTTAGAACTGTGCCGCCGATATTTGTTTGGGAGATATGAGGACAAATCGAGCAACAGTTGCAGCGAAGTGCGGCCACGCGAACGAACGGTGCGACGTCGCAACTTTTCTTTGCTTTGGTTTCAAAGAGAAAAACCGTAGTTTCACTACTGATATGTACCTTGTAGAACATAGATACTTTTGAGTACTATTGGAAACTGAGTTCTTGTTCTATCTTTCAAGAAGGCACAGCAGTCCCTCTCAAGCGACGAAATCCAAGCAGTTCGAATTCATTCAGAACCTTGGGTGTGGAGCTTATCCGACATGCTGATTACAGATGTGACCACAGTCTACGAAATAAAGTCATTTTGTTAGCTAACGGCTCAAAGTACACTCTTTTTCGCGCGCGCGATTTCGCGGTCCGAAACGTGTTAAATGATAATTTTGGCTGTGATCGATAAAGTATCAAGGCGACAGCGCTATAAAAGGCCCCGATGAGATGAGAATTTGCGTTATGAAGCTTCTTCTCTTACATGGAGGTGGGACCTCAAACGCCTGGAACTATAGAAATCGAAGGCGCCGCAATTAAGAAGACCACGACATTCAAGTATCTAGGAAGTCGCATCGCCGCAGATGGTACGCTTCAGGACGAAATAACCAGCAGAATAAATGCAGCTTGGTCGAAATGGAGAAGTGTCACAAGAGTCCTGTGCGATAAGAAGATGCCACTCAAGCTAAAATCCCAGCTGTATCGCACTACAGTCCGCCCGACTGCTCTGTATGGCAGCGAATGTTGGCCGTGCACGCGAGAAGACGAACGAAGGATTGGTGTGATGGAGGCACGCATGCTAAGATGGACAGCGGGAGTCACGATGCTGGACCACGTCACTAACGACACCATACGAGCTACGATGAAGGTCGCCCCTATCGTCAAGAAGATACAAGAGAAGAGATTGCGATGGTATGGACACGTTAGAAGACGAGCGGAAGATCATGTCGCTAGGTTGGTGATGTCAGTCGAAGTACCTGGAAAGAGGCCAAGAGGGAGGCCGAAATTGAGATGGATAGACAAAGTGAAAGCGGACTTGAGAGAACTTGAGATAGAAGAAGATCAAGCTGAAGATCGAGAAGTCTGGAAGAGACTAACCAGAGCAGCAGACCCCCTCTGAGGGAAGAATGCAAGGATAAAAAAAAGCTTCTTCTCTTACTATTCGTACTTCCCCTGTTAAGCATTGCTGCTGTTATTGAACAAAGAGAGCAGTTGTGCTCTCAAGTGTGCCCACACCTAGCAAATTCGGTCAATCCAAATGCTAAGATCGACATAAAAGTGGGTTTATCTTGTTTTGACCCCAATGACTGAAAAACTCCGTTCAGCATCTGTGGGAAAATTGCAAGCAGAATCCGAAAACACCAAAAACAGTCTGCGAATATGCGAACAAATGGGAAGAGGACAAATATTTGAAGGTTTGCAGACAACGCTTGGTTTTCTGGTTTCATGATGTGTGTTTCAGAAATATGGAAAGTATCACACATGGAAAGCGGTTTGCCAGTCTTGCAAGTAATTTGTCCTTCTTGTGAATTGCAAGTTGTCTTCCGCAATATAAAATCAGAAAACGTCACAATGTTATTGGTAATGACTTCGGTATAAGTTGATGGCATCGATTATGCGTTCTGAATTGCAATTATCATACGCTAAACCTGATCCATTTCTGCACGCCCGAAAACTCCACATACCGCAGAGTCATTGGATTGACCGTAGATTGCGGAGCACAAGCCGGGCGGCCAAACGCTTGTATCGGTACAATATTCGTTAGTGATCGTGCTTCAGTGACACAGAGGCGCCGCGTGTGCTCCGCAATTTACGGTCAGTCCATGCATTGACGACTTGACGATAGAACGTGGGCATATGCTTGCAAAATGAAGGTGGCGTCGAAAGGGTTTTATCGGTACTTTGACCATAATTTCATGGAAGGCATTTTCCCTTGCGAATTAATATAAGATAGTAACAATGGGCGCGACGAGAATGGCAGAAACCGGGGCATAGTGACGATAATCTACTATATTTAGTAAACTTGGAATTCTTAAACAAATATCCGAATATCGAGTATTATTTAGCAATTAAAAATCATTACTTATAATAACGGGCTAAGGATGTTTACGTGTTTTTGTGTGGATGTGTGTGTGTGTAAGTCTGTCTGTCTGTCACGAAAATCGTGGAACGGTTGACAGCCAACATCTTGAGCCAAAATTTTGCACAGCGCATGCTACCAGCATGAGAGTCCAATATACTGAAGCTTGAGCGGATCCGTCCAGTGGATCCTTTGAAAATCACACTTCAGACGGATCCACTTGGCTTTTGGTCAGTAAAACTGAGCCTTTAGCAAGACCTTTTGCAAAGTCACGGATATGTTTGACAAGTTAATCTGCAAGCCATGGACTTTAGCCTAAAAAATTGAACTAAAGTTCATTACTTTGCGAAAACGGCGCCAAAAAGTATTTGTTGTGTAAATGTTCAATTTGCCAAGATTTTACCCGATCATTTGCGAGGATTTTTGCACGGAGATGTAGCCCACAGTGATTATTGCATCTTATGGCAAAAACCAAGCCATGAAAAGTCCAAAAACCGATTCAAATCTGCATTTGTTTTTTGGGAAAAGTTTCATCCAATCGAAATTACCGATCTCACATGAAAAAGTCTTAGGAATGAGTAGTTGTTTACAAATCCATCGTGATAGTCTGCATAGCGCGGTAAGTGTCAATGTCATTATTACGGGAACGGGTAACGCATACGGATAATAGGACCAATGCGAACCTCTGCGAAGCAGAGGTGACGCACTGGTTCCGAATAATAGACTACCGAATGATATTTTTTAATGGATCGAATACTCGACTTTGAATAATCTTCGATTATCACTGGATCTCCTATCCGTTTGCCTTTCTCACGTTCGCATAATGATGACTTCGAAACCCACCATGCGATGCTGAACATCACCAATAAATAATAAACAACTGTTCATTCTTGAAGCATCTCCACGTAAGATCGGTAATTTTGAGCAAAAAGAACTTGTCGCAAAGGAACACCTGCGAATTTGAATAGATTACTGAGTTTGTTTTGGCTTGGTAGTCGTTCATAAGGATAATAGTCACTTTAAGCTAAATTTTCGTGCAAAAATCTTTTCAAATTTTAAGGTAGAACCTTGCCAAATCGACTATCTAAGCGATTACCACTTCTTGGCGCTGTTTTCGCAGAAAACCAAACTTTTTGAGCAGTTTTCGGCCTAGAATTCATGAGGCGCAGATTTACTCGTCAGACAATTCATGACTTCGCAAAAAGTGGAATTAGCGACCTAGTTTTGCGTGCCAAAAGCCGCGTGGACCGTTTGACGCGCACTTTTCAAAGGTCCCAATCATCGGATCAGCTTGTGCTTTTGCACTTTTTATCTACATGCTGGTAGGGTGCCATAACCAAAATTTCAGCTCATTTTCTTGCCCACAACACGCTCTATGAATTTCGTGACAGACAGACATAAACACACTCACAGACAAACAGACAGACACGCGCTTTATTATATCAAATATCATTCGTTATTCAAATTTGGAAATTACTTGATTCGAATATCATTGATTTTCCAATGCTATTCGAATATTTGAAATCAGTGAGATGAGACTGCCTATTAGAGACCAAAATATCTAACAATTTGTTGTTTCAGGTAAGTAATGAGAATAGTTTTTTGGGTTGCAATTTATGACGGCTTAGTTCTGATGTCAAGAGATTTGAAACCTGAAAGCGTATTCCTGATGATTGTGAAGAGAATTGTAAAACTTCAAAGAAGATCATATACTCTCCATTGAGAGTTGTGGGTTGATATACAGAGGCGCCGAAAGTATGTAGATCTGTGGGCTGACATCAACTTAGACTTACAGTAAGCGACTTATCGCTCCAATTACCATAGAGAAATGAAGAGGGTTTTGAGACATCAAGAGCCGTATCTTGCCCACGGGGGAACCAGAAAAGGCCGGTCGATCATTTTACGTTAAACTCCTAAAGACAATTAATATATTTATATAAAGGTTGCAATATATGTAGTGATTTTTTCACAACTTATGCCAGGTGCACATAAGGTACACAAAGTTTTTCAATGATTTTCAAAACATGATTACATTTGGAAAGTTTGAACTCGTGTGTAGCAAAATCAGCGTACGTAAAAATCTGCTACACAAATTCTCAGATCTTTCTTTGTGGAGAGGGAGGGGGGGGGGGAAGGGGGGAGGACACTTTTAGAATATTCGAATATTATTCGACTACCGAATAATATTCGAAACTTGAAATTTTTGAAAATTCGATTTTCGAATATTTCGCATTCGAATGAATTATTCGAATAATCGAATAATTTCGATTTGGTCCAAAGTATATAAACCACTTGTTTTGAGGTAGTTACTTTTGCAATACTACACTTGTCATAGCGCACTTAAAAATTAACGAGAAGCTCTATACATGAAATTGGCTCTTAACGTTGGAAAAAATTAATTAAATAGGGCTGTACTCAGAACTCATATTCATGCACTTCAAAACATGGCTTACATTCCATTCATCACAAATTTTTTTGACAAATTACTGCTTAGATTTTATCTGACTATTCATGAAAGCTACCACTCGTAGCTAGAGAATGAAATTTCCAGAGATAATTCCAAGAGCATTTACGTTCCGTATGCATGTACCCTTTCAATGGGATCGGCGGCTGCGGGGCTTCAAGGCCTAATTAAGGCTAGAGAATGATCGGAGAGCACGCTCGCGAGAGAGACGCAGAATGCGTTGCGGGCACGACAGATCGGTTTCCAGCCGCCAATCCCGTTGGATCAAAGGGTACTTCATCGCTGAGGAGCAAGGGGAGGTGACGTTAGCGAAATGAATTTAGATTTTCAAAATGAAAGTTCATACCAACTTTATGAAATCTTACGGCTTTTGTTTTGACCGTTTTTTGCGCAACCGCTTCTTGCTTGATAATATGTGAATATCACCAACTGCAAACCGATCTTTACGATTGCGAGCTGTGTGTTCGCTATTACATATGTTCCACATCACAAGTGTTATGTGTCTCGAATCAACTTTGAGACGTGCCCTATATGTCATGAAAATTGCCAAATTCATAACTTTGTCTTCTAACATGGAAGGAGCGTAATGCATGTAACACATCATTAATTCTGGTTTCTTAGAACTAGATGGAACACCTAAATTACGAGTAGAATCGGAGCGTTCTTGCAGCTCTAATGCTTTGCTCCAAAGAGTTTCATTTTGAGATTGAAAACATTTTCATTGAGAGATGTTGGAAACTGACAATAGCAGCATCTTGATGAAAATCTGTAAATAAAACATCCATTACATTTGCACTTTCAATGCCGAGGTGTTGGCTGTGAAGGTAAGATTTAAGTCCATTCAAAGTTATGATTTCTGTTGCGCTGATCATAGTCACCGAGGACAAGCTCGTCTGAATTTACTTATTACTCAGCTTACTTCTTCCATATCTGTAATTACCTCTCACAGTGCGTTCGAACCCAGTTTAGGCGCAAATTAGATTGGCGGGCGACCGTCTCGCAACGGTTCGCGTTGCCGCACTTCGTTCAATTCTGCGATTTATCCTCATATCTCCCAAACAAATATAGGACGAACGACGCGTGCGACGTCGCACCTTTACTTTGCTTCGATTTCAAGGAGAAAAACCGTATTTTCGATAATAATGTGTTCCGTATACAACATAGATACTTTTGAATACTATTTGAAACTGAGTTCCTAATCCTATCTTTCAAGAAAGCACAAAAGTCCTTTCGGTATGGAGCTTACCTGACATGCTAATTACAGATGTAGCCCACAAGCTGCGAATTAAGGTCTCTTTATAGGCTAACGGCTGAGAGTACACTCTTATTCGCCGCGCGCGATTTCGCGGTCTTAAACGTGTTAACAATCCATTTTGGTTCGCCTACACTCCAATCAATGCTTTCCCTCTGAATTAGATCAAGTCCGAGGAGAGACGAAAAAATGCGCGGGGATGGAACTCGTTGAAGAAACGGAAAATTACTGACCGCCACTCGAATCCAGTGCAGTTTCGACATCGTGAGGCTAAAACAGGCACCCTTTTCATTAAAAATTGACGTAAGTGAAATTACTAAGCCAACTCTAACGTTGGTATAGTCTCGAATGTTTTTACTCAACGACTTTATACACATTCGAAAAAGGTTTGTAAGTTCATGAGCAAAAGGCAAAAATTTTCAAGGCTACACGCTGTTGAATTTCCTCCGACAGAGTAGGGTCTCAAAGAGGAAGGAAAATGGTGTTCAAGGTTACCCGGCTGTTTTTTACTTGCAAATATCATGAACGAAAAATTTACTTTGGAAGAAATGGCTAACTCGTTTGAAATGTGTGAAACTTTTTATGAAAGTGAAAGAGATACCACAAAGCAATTCTACAATTTAAAAAAAGATTTACAGTTTTTCAAATTGTCTCGTACTAAAAACAAAACACAATTTTCATGCTACGTATTGACTTATGGGATACACAGAATGAATCTCTTTTCTAGAATTTGATATGCTTCAAAATCAGAAATAGCAAATAAGTACCAACTGAGGATTTTCGGCTTTAAAATGGGAAAAAATTTACAACA